TTGCTTTCCGTGCAGCTGTTTTTGCAAGGCCTCTACCTCATTTGCATTTTTCTGGTTAAAAACAGTAATTTTGCCCTTTTGAGTCATCTTTATTTTTGAGGCATCATTAATTTTCTTTCCCTCCTTGTTTATTAATAGATCTTTTCACTTTTGTGCTGATTCTGCAGGGTTTATTTGTAAAGTCCTTTGTATTCTGTTTAGCTCTCCAGCTGTTAACTCCTTCTGCTGGTTTGTTGTCCCTTTTCTCTCCTGCAGCTGTGAGTGGACACTATTGACTTACAAATCCTCCTCCTGTTTGAAACTGTCCACCCTCCTCTTGTTCAGGTATCTCCTAAGAGCATTGAAAATGAAAGGCACAATTGAAATCTTTTTTTTCTCTGCACCTTTCATGCCTTTGCTGCCTCCTCCCGTAGCCAGCGTTTGCTCCAGCTGCTGGAGAACATCTTTCTCCTGGCAGCAGGGGACAGGGTTGTTTTAAAGCCTGTGGGGCTGCAGTGGGCATTGAACAGGATGCATCTCTCTGCTCCTTGAAGTGCTTTGCCTTGCCCTGTGCTGACAGCACTGTGCTCTTTCCTTTTCTCTCCCTGCCAGGTATCCAGGCCCTTTCCTGGCCCAGTTGCCTGCTGTGTGAGCCAGGCGGGCTTGGCTGGATGTCTGCTGGGAGCAGGAGAGGTGCAGGTAGCCAAAACCTCTGACAATCCTTACCCGGTCTGCCAGGCACCTGTGTTGTGCAGTCAGCAAGTGTGCCAAGGCACGTGCCTGGCATGGGATGAGCCCTGCAAGTGGCAGGTTCCCCAGCGGGGCTGTTTAGAATCTCCTTGTACCTGCCTTTTTATTGGTCCTGTTCTTATATTTATTTATTTTTCCCCCTCTAAAGAGCCCAATCTGTGGCAGGCTGTAAAGAGTGACATTGCGGGTGTGCGAGCTGCGTGCTGAGGCTGCGCGTGGTCCCCCAAGGCTCCCGGTGCCCCGCTGCTGCCATCCCTGTTCACTGTCAAAGCTTTAAGGTTATCTGCTCTATTGATGGGAGTATGGATTGAGTGGAATTAGAAACCTCGAAGGCTAAAAATACAGCTCCCTGCCAGGAAATGCGGCAGCCTGCTGGGAGGGCGCTGGGTGGCACCGAAACTTTTCCGGGAACTGGCATGCTCCATGTGAGCCCTGCAGCCCAGCATTGGTGCCTCTTCCCAGGTTTCCCAAGTGGGACTGTGGCTGGCATCTCTACTGGTTGCAGGAGCCCTGGCTTTGTCATGGGAGCTGTGCTGTGGGTATCCTCACCTGCTGGGCAGGGGTGCAGATGACGAAAGAATTTGGCGATGCACTGTGCAGTCAGGTCTGTGATGACAAGCCCTGTCTTGCTGTTGTTTGTTGAGTCCTTCTTGGGACAGGAAGGCAGTGAGAAATCTGGGCAAAAATGCCACCCATCTGTGCTGCATATGGTCTAGAGGAGAAATGCGGGCTGGCATGTTGCCTGAGCCCCTGTTCTGAGGCTTCACAAACTCATGCCACAAGCACAAGCTCCCCTTGAGCAGCATATTCCTGGGGAGAGTGTGAGGGTAGCCTGTGTCTGTAGGAAGCTCTGGCGACCTTCTGGCTGATGCTCCAGCATCCCCCTGGTCACACCAGGCTGTGTTGCACCGGGCTGGTGGGCATTACATGCCAGGCAACTGGGCAGCTTTCCCACCACTACTTTTGCCATGGTACCGTGGCATGCCTTTCCCTGCTTTGTGCTGCAGTGCCGAGCTGTTTTGCTAGCCCGCTCCAAAAGCAAGGCAGCACTCGGCATCATGGGCCCTTTTGGGTATGTGCTGCCCACTGCTGTCTGGCTTTGCAGGGCAAGCTTGATCCCAGAGTCTGGAAGCAGCAGGATTGCCCTGTCCAGTGTAGTGTGAATGAGACCTGAAGCCAGGGCTGTTGCTCTGCCTCCTGGAGCGTGTAATCAGTCAGTGCCGACACACGGCTGTGGCATCGAAGTGTGTAATAGGCTGGGGGCAGGAGCTGTGCTGCCCTGTGCGAAGAAAACAAAGTGCTGCAGCACTTGTTTGCCATCGTGGGCCAGCCACGACTTTTCTGTGCTTCTCCCAAGGCTGAAGGAAGTGGCTCTTCCCCCTCAATGAGAGGCAGGCAGAGGCAAAGCTGTGGGGGGAGAGGATGCTCCCAGCACCAGCCGTCTGGCTAATGCCGCACCATCTGCTTTTGGAGGGTGAGGCAAGGTGAATGGCAAGTTTTCGAGGAGCCTGTAAATCCTGCGTGTGAAGGCTCTTCTTGGAGGTGAACTGGGATGTGTGTGGAGCAATGCTGCTTCTGGCTGCTCCCTATGCTGGAAATTCTGGGGAAGCAGAGCCTGTTCCTCTCCCCAGGCTGTTCGGTGATGTCCCATGGGCTTGTCTGGGAAAAGTCCTTTAGCAGAACATGCTTCATTGCAGTTGGAAGCTCTGTGTGGTTGAAAGTGGTGGTGCCAGGGGGGCTCCCAGTGCCGCCTCCTCTCCGGCACCTGGGCTGCCACTCAGTGAGAAAATGTATAATGCCTCGGTCTTGAAAAATGACTAATCCAGACCTTGGAGGGTTTGTAGGATATGTTCCTTTCTCGCGGTCGATAAAGTGGATCGTTCTGCCAGCAAAATTAGTGTATCAAAGAGGGGAAAAAAATGACAAGAGCTGCGGAGACAGAAAAATGGTTGGGGCAGCCCTGGGATGGTGTCCAGCATTCTTGTGGCGCCCGCGCCCGCGGACCAATCCCA